GGTGTTGTTTGTATAAAATGACTGATATTATTATATTAATAATTGTCCCTTGGAGACATATTTAAACTAACTTTCTGCTATGGCAACAATGTTTACCTAAATATCCAGGCCAATAAAGTTTAATGAATTGAATTGAGAGGCAGATAGAATTTTTAGCCATTTTAAATACTAAACAAAATCTATATGACGTACTCAGTGTTGATACTGTTGCAGGTTGTCACATATAAATGAATGCAGGGGAAACACTGCCCTCTGGTTCCAGCTTGTAAGCCTTCTTTGTTTTTAAATTGCAGTTTAGATTTGATTGGACAAAAACAAACCCATTGACGATCGAGTACATTGCGCTCCCAACCCTGTGACCCATGTCTGCAAACCAACCAACAGGAACGCATAATGAAACAATGCAGAATACCTGAGCCAGTGTAGCTTATTTAAGAACAAGGTGAAAAAACAAGACGGATATAGTACAACAACTTTCAACCTGCAGGATGACTGTTACTGTGCAGTGTGTAAGGGCCTTTACTCAGCAGAGGAGGAAGTGAATGGAGAACTACACTAACCACTAGGACCATACAAGCAAGCATTTGGCGAGGATTACACACATACATAATTAAAAATAACGCTATGATCCCATCAGGTTTTTACTTACTGGCAGCGTTCGACACCACCTGGGCATCTGAGGGGAGCGCCAAAGAAAGAAATGCATGCAGCATGCAAAGATAAACGAGTGCAGAGAGGAATGAGAGAGGCAAACACACGAGTGAAGAGCTGATAGAAGGAGAGTCCAAGGTCCAAGTGCATGCTGGGAGATGGTAGCACTTCACAAACTGAACAGGCAGATTTAGAGATGAATTTGGGTTGATAATAAAAGAGGGAAAGTATCACTGGTCAGGTTGATTATGTGCTGATTATGTTATAACTCGAGTTTAAGATGTGTCACATTAAATGGATTAAATGTGTAAAGGCCAATTTAAACTTCTGCGTTGAATCTCCGCAGTAGCCACGCCGTTTATACTTGTGTGGTTTAGCCTTCCACTAACTTGAATGGGGGCAAAATAGGTCTGAACCCTTAATTGAAATTATATCGCTACTGCACCTCGTAGGAGGTGCAATATTTGTTAAAGGTGATGTGGGTCAAAAACCACATTAAATATTGTGGTGCTGCAGTGATGTCCTGGCCAACATGCCATATTCTAAAGACCTAAGAAAACATGTGGTACAGATCCTTGCAAAAATCACACCATGAAAATGAGAAATAATACCAACTACATATCTTTTCAAAATCATTCAGCCCTAGGGGTAAAATGATAATCGTGCAGCTATGCTAGACTTTCTAAATGTTATCAGACCGACTGGATCAATTTCTGATGGTGAAATGACTTGTGTCACTGGGGTTGTGATCAGAAAAAAAAAAATTGTATCCACCATTTTACAGTCGCTTCTTTCAACAGTGTCTAGTGGGAAGTCTATGGGAAAATGTCTGGTTTGGCCATTAGTAGAATTGGCTTCAAACCATGGAACACTTCCGGGGGGGGCTTGGAGGAATTGCGATGCTGCCAAGCCGACCAATCACAGTCCTTGTGGTCTGCGTTACTGCACCGTTTAGTTAAATTTTTGGGGAGGTGCACGTCAGGCTAGGTACGCAGCTATGCTCGAGGTCTGCAAGCCCGCTGGGTCCTGACCTGAGTTGATTCGGGCAAGGCTTGGGACAATTATAGATCAAGGTTCAGGCTCATTTACCCTGCTCATATACGTGCAGAGCATTCATTGGCTACTGTATGAAAAACTGTTCTATTGATTATATTATAAATATTATACACAGGTACGTGTGCATTAGCATACATGCGACAGTGGATCATGCAACTCATCGGGGAGACATTGGATGAGAGAGCGCGCGTCACAGAGAGCTTAAAGTGATCTTTGTCTTGGCTTGGGTTAGGGCTGGAGTTTTTTTTCCCTCTAGGCTACAGCGTACCTACAGCATAGATTTGACACAGAAGTATAAACCGGCCCTAATGCAGATTACAGGTAAAACAATGAGTCTATCTGCAAGTGAGTCTTTCCAGCTTTTCCACCTATTCCCTGGTTTCAGCTTTTTAATGTGAGGATTTACTGCCGTTCTTTGTCACGAAAAGTATGTGAAAGTAAACTGAATAATTTAAAACAAGCAATTTGTATTTTTCACAATATTCTATTATTTCTCTGCATATCACTTACAAATATATTACATCTCTAACTCAAAGTAACCAGGTGATGTGATGTTAATTCATTATTCAGGTTTTTTTATGACAGTATTAGAACAGATATTTGGTTTGGTATTTGAATGTTAATGGATGAAGCTGGTCAGTCCGTCTCTCAGTGCTGTCTGACTTCCCTACGTTGCAGTGGCACTCAACTCCAAGCCCATTTTGTTTCCTTAACAGCTGGTAGTTTTTTTAACAGCTATTTTCTAGTGCAGATATCCACATGTGGTGCTCTGGTGAATATCTGGGGCAGCAGGCCGAATAAACTAGTGTGTGTGTGTTCATGGTGATGAAGGAACATGTCACCCAGTGAGCCTCACTGATGTGTTTAATAGTTTCTGGACAACAATGGAGCTCTATGGCTCAGAGGAAGAAGAGACATCGGCATTATCCTTAAAATGGTATTATCTTTAGTGTGTGTGTGTGTGTGTGTGTGTTTGGTGTTTTCCTACCTCATTGATGCCTGGTGTGATAGTTGGTGCAGCAATAAAGACGACGTAGGGGGCAAACTCTGCTGTCCGGAGGACCTTCAGGGCCTGATGGAGCACAGGTGTTAGAGGTCAATGTCCATATATGTATGCATGCATGCACACTCGCACCTACACAAACCTGAGGTTCAACGTCCAGTATAGCTATGAGTCCCTGTTGGATCTTTCGGATGGTCTCCAGCCGCGTCCCGTACATGGCGTCCTCGTGGCTGCCGTACTCCAGGTACTCATTGTTGCTGATGTCCAGCATCATCTGATCGTGGGAAACAAAGTAGTAGTTCTTCCCGTTCTCCTCGTCCTTCTTTGGAGTTCTGGTTGTGTCTGTGGGACAGCAGGAGATACAGAGAGGATTTACATTTCCTAACATGTATGGTGATGTTAAAGGGTAATTTTCTGTACCAACTAACCGACCATGGCAGCAGGACACTAGCAACTCCAGTGTTCTGCGAGGTAAAATCACTGTTTTTATCAATGGAGTCTGGTGATTTTGATGAATGATACAGCGACTGTTTCTGGTTATTCTACTAAAAATATGTCTATCTCTGTAGGGATGATTGGCAGATACTTACAATAACAATCTGAGCCTGTCAGTGGCAAAACAAGAACTTTAGTGGACGCACTTTGACGGGGCGCAAGGACTACATTGCAGCCCTGTTTCACTGCTGTCAACTGCAGCGTGCATAAAAGACGCTGTCCCAATTAGTCATAGACACAAAAATACCTAAGTTACCCATTAAGTACATTTCTGTAGAGGACCTGGATGATTTATCTTACGTGGGATGGGGTAGGCGAATCTGTCGGGGTGTTTGGTTATGAGTGTGTTCTTGATGTGTCTTCTTCCCACTCCATGGGCACCTGGGAAAGACACACAGTTAGCTGGTGAAGTCACTTATGGTGGCAGACGTATCCCACATGTGTTGCTGCTACACTTGTTGCAGAACTTACCTAACAAAACTAGTGTTTTCCTCTTGAAAGCAGGAAGCTTCACAACCTCTTCGTATGTGACCAGATCTAGTTGGTCGAACACTGGAAGTGACAGAGAGGGAGAAAGGGTGAGAGGATGCTGGGACAAACAGCAGTTAGAGGGCTCTACAGAGTGGAGGGTGGGGACAAGGTGGACTAAAGAGTCTTAAACACATCTGGTGATCTGTGGTGAAGAGGAAGTTGGGTCACTAGTCAAAACAAAAGCAGAATAAAAAAATCAACGAGCCTAAAGTAAAAACAGTGAGTGGAAAAGACAACAGGGGGGAGCTGAGGTGATCTGTGAAGTGATGACTCCTTTTAAAATAACCTCTGTGCTCTGAGATTAAATAAATCTGGCCAAGCAGTGATTCATCCAGCGAGAGAAGGGATCATGTGCTGATCAAACTCAGAAGACGGTGCTAGAAAACGAGTATTTAATGAAAGTATAATGGCTTCTGTTAGGGTAATCATCTGTGCCTGGTTGCATAAAGGGTGCCACAAGAAATAACTCCACTTTCTGCGTCAAGTCTGGCAGGACTGCAGGAAAAGTATTGATGACACTGCTGCTTATGTCTTTACTGTGTGGTGGTAACAAGAACTATTTTGTGAAAAAGAGAACAAGAAGTCTAACTGGAAGAAAAAAAGTGTTGTTGGATGAATATTTCAAAAGAAAACCAGCTGAAAATTAACTGATTAGTCACCTGACAGGTCATTTTTTGTTTCTTTGTGGAATAAAGCTAAAAACATGCCCATCACAGCTTCTCAAATGTGAATATTTTCTTCTCTTCGTCTCCTCTGAATTTAAAATCACGGAGTTTCTAGCTGTTTCCAGACTAAACAAGCAATTTGAATATCCCAGCTTGGGCTTTGATGATGGACACGTTTACAGTTATTATCCATTATCAAATAATCAAATAATTATTTTTACAAAATGTCAGAATAGTGAAAATTCATAACAATTTTCTTTTTCTTTAACACCTAAAACTTCAGTTTACTGTCAATATGACAAAGAAAAGCATAAAATCTTCACAATAGAAAACTGGAACCAGATATTTTGTTAGTGATTATCAAGATATTTTTGTTATTTATTTGATTTAATTCTTCTTATTCATTTAGATATTTCCATGATTTCCATGATTTAAGTTTAATTTGTTAAACTATTTCTTCTGAATAAATCATAAGGTAATGTATGTTCTAAAAGCTTTATGCAACAGTGCACAGATTTATCTTTTATCCCAACTTTAGTAACAGGAAAGTAAAGTATTTCTTCTATCATCATTAGAGTTAATGGTGGGTTAAACCTTCCAAACATTTCTGTGTGGAAAAACACAGAGCAGAATAAATGAGGGAAATTACAGGTTGTCTTGTTGTGCAGAGCATATCACATGTTCGAGCAGAGCTGTTCCCTGTACAATGTGTTCTCAGCCTCTGCAACATGAGACTCCATGAAGTCACCACCTCAGGCCGCTGACAAGCGAAATACAATACCCACAAGTCACTGGGTTCTCTTGTGCAACAGGCGGCTGCAGACCAGCAGCTGCTCATACGGAACAATTGCTAAGGTGAAAGGAAGATCGACCGAGTATGTTCGTTAACATCAGACTTACATTACTGTCTGGGTCTGCTGATGAGCACACTTGACCAAATTTAGAAATTCAAATGGGTTTGGATGAACATCACAGCACACACAATGTCTGAAACACACAAACTAAACTACTACGGTTTCAATTTTGTGTCAGCCTTCTGTTGTTTTTCTGACCAACTCAACAGAAACAAAACCGAAACGCTGGCAGTGACAGCTGAGTTCATCTACAGGGTTAATAAAATAAATAGAAGAGAGAGTAAAATAAGAGAGAGAGAGGAGTTGGTTGCTGTCACTGGTTGTTACTTACATGCAGAGAGGCCGTTCGGTAGGAGAAAGCGAGAGAGATGAACAGGAGGATCATAAGATGGTTCGGTTACAACAGCAGAATTACAAAACGTTACACACACAGCAAGATACAACAGCTGGGCAGCTGTGGGCGCCGCACAGAGCCCACAATGGAGATGGAAATACACAATACACTGTTGTTGTTGCTGTTGAAGGGAATATTCACACCAACTAGAAATATGGCGCCGTGTGACATGTGGTGCGGACCCTGCAGAGGTTCTGCTGATGGTAACAACATGCAGCACGGCGGAGCAGGGAGCGGTGAGGGGGGAAGGTTTTAAAGTGATTATTCTCCAGGAATATATCACTTGTTTTCTGGGAAACCCGGGATTTCTTGCTAACAATGAATTTTGATTTTAAAAAGCAGATAATTGATCATAAAATTGTGTTTTAATATAATTTTCAAATTAGGGTTCAAACTGCGGCGCTACAAATGCAAAGATACAGACGTGGCATTACACAAATTACACTATAAACCAGTCTTAGATGATTCTCCAATCATCACAAAATCTGCAGGATATGTCCTCATCATGGAACGTATCCTGAAAGTTTAATTCAAAACGACCACCAGTGGGGTGTGGTATAGCACAAATCGCGCTATACATCGACAATGCTTGTTGTCTGCTTCTGCTCAAATTCCCCAGAGCTGGTATGTGCAAGAAACACAAAACTTTGGGAAATAACTGGAAATGATGTGCAAATGCTTCCACAGAAATAGGAGTTTGATAGTGGCGCTGTAATTAAGGCTCAAAAATGCAATTTTCTAAAAGGCTTGACATTTGTCACACAAGTCCAGCTCAATGTGCTACAAAAGACAACGTACTCTGATTGCCACCAAATTTTCAGTGTCTAATCATTGAATCAGGTAGAACAAAAGTTGCAGAAAGCTTGTTGATCTCTCATGAACTTAAATGGGTGTGGCCCAGCATATAAACAGACACATTTCAATAACCGTTGGGCCACTCATTACAAGCTCACAGCCCAGAAAGTTGCATTCAAATTGATGACTAGGGGGCTACAATGGCCAAAACTCAAAGTGTTTGTCCAAAGGTTACAAAACTTGCAGGATAGTTTCATAACAATGTTGAACCTCGTGTGTGAAACTATTTTGAAATCGCTAACCCTGCAGTGGTTTGAGACGTGGGAGTTTGTTCTTCAATGTTGGCGGCACGTCTGGTTAAGTCTTGTCCAACCACCTGCTGAGTTTCTGCTTCGTTCACAATTTTCACCACACAGCTGTACTGTAAGCTGCCATTTTTAAAGGTTGGACTTGCTTGGCTCTGACAGTTTGTGGTGGCGTTTGAGGTTAGAGAATAAGTTTCTCTACGTGAACACACAGGCGCACACAAGCAACAACGGCAAAAAATCTTGGGTGTCCGCAGCTATAAAGGAATCGATTTTGATCAGAATTTGCAAGAAATATCAGCATTCAACCCTTGTTAGTACTACTGGACACTGAATGAACATGGGAATAAAGAGTTAAACATGAACAGTCTGTGCACTCATTTATGAATCTGGTGTCAATAAATGCAAACAGTGAAATCATAGTCTTGATTCATCTTAAATACGACTCTGGATTTCATGCTTTCATGCTTTTCTGACTACATAACGATAACATTCTGCATTGCATGCTATAGAATATTATAGCAAATCTTTTTAATGGACATTGACAGATGTGTCGGTACATGTTTGTAGTTTGACAGACATGCTTATCACTGGATATTCAGATGCATACACCACTCACACATACTGTAACACCAAACATGAATGCACACTGACAG